CCCAAAACGCAATTCGGCTTCAGGAAGGGATTGAGCACAGTTGACAGCCTTAGCATCTTTATCTCTGAAATCCGACTGGCATTTTCCAAACAAGAATCTATCACCGCAGCCTTTCTTGATATAAGTTCGGCATATGACAATGTGATTCTTCCGCTGCTCAGGGAAAAATGCTCCAGCTGAGCATTCCCGTGAGGATAATCAATTTCATATCCAACCTATTCTCTAACAGGCGTATCCTTGTTCGCACTCAAGGCGTTTCCCTTCCTTCTAGATCTGTCTGGAAAGGACTTCCACAAGGATCTGTACTGAGCCCCCTTCTTTTTAACATCTACACTTATGATTTAAGTACATCTGTCAATTATACATCCAGTATTTTACAATATGCTGATGATCTTGCTCTATATGCTACTAATCCTTCTATAGCTGAAGCATGTCCCACTTATCAACCGCCATTGAATATCTAAACACGTGGTTATCTAATCATGGGTTATCTATATCCCCTTTTAAAAGTAATATTGTTGTCTTCTCTCGACATCGTTTTATCCCTGACCTTTCTATTTCTGTAGGAAACCAGAATATACCAAACAACAATAAAGTAAAATTTCTGGGTGTCTATCTGGATTCAAAATTAACTGGAATTCCTCATCTGTCTTACATTACATCTAAATGTGAAAAAAACCTGAATGTCGTTCGTTCTCTATCTGGTGTCTGGTGGGGTTCCCATCCATATACACAAAAACTCCTATACAACGCGCTAATAAGGAGCCATTTTGACTATGGCTCTTTTCTACTAGAACCTTGTAACAAGGCAGCTCTGGCCACTCTTGATAAGATCCAGTACAAATGTCTCCGCATAATCACAGGTTGCATGAAATCTTCCCCTATAAACGCCCTCCAGGTGGAATGTGCCGAACCACCTCTCCTACTCCGCAGACAACTTATGTCAGATAAGTTCCTATTCAAAGCAGCTCAACTCTTGTACCATCCCCTTCTCTCTAGGCTACAAATCCTCTCCCAATTAGCTAGAGAATCCAGTTACTGGACTCACAAAGACTTACCATGCCTCTTAAAAAGTTATTTTAAATTTGTTAACATACGGTCACCAATTTTCCAATCCACCAAGAATCCGCTTTTTGAAACTCCCTTTGAGGCCTTAACGTTCAGCCCTCAAGTAATTCTAGACTTTGGTATACATAAAGATACGGTTGATCCCAATAATACGCTAAAACAAATTATCACTCAACATTGGCATGACTGGTTGCTCATGTATACTGATGCATCTAAATTAACTAATCAAGGCTGTACTGGCTTTGCAGTGTGGATACCGAAGTACAGAATAATTCTCAATAACAAGTGCTCCTCTTATACTTCAGTATTTACCGGCGAATCTCTGGCAATTCTAGAAGCAGTCCTCTACTCAGAATCTCATAATATAAGTAAAACCTTAGTCCTTTCCGATTCATTAAGTTGTCTACAAAATCTATTGTCAAACCCATTCCGTTCGAAGTTGAGGAACCCGACTATTTTAAAAATCAGGGAGACTCTGTTAAAGTGTCACTTAAAGGGGCTAAACGTAGTCCTTGCCTGGATCCCAGGACATCGTGGAATTCAAGGCAACGAATGTGCAGACCAACTGGCTAAAGCAGCTTCAACTTCTGACTCTCTTTCCTTGCAACATACTTTTTTATATGATTTGATACCATCAGCTAGTTCAGACCTCATGGCCTCATGGCGCAATCTCTGGCGCAAATCTAAACTTATTTCTGGTAAATATTATGCTCGTGCCCAAGAAGACATTCCCAAAAAACCCTGGTTCTTTCAGTATCGTAATGCCAGCAAACAAATTACATCAACCATTTGCCGTCTCCGCCTTGGACATAGCTGCACACCTGTTCACTTAGCCAAGCTTAGAATCAGGGATAACTCAATCTGTGAGTGTGGGCTGGGCGAAGGATCTCCTGAACATATATTTTTTTGCTTGTCCCAAATTAACTTTCTCCTTATATGACTTCCTCCCTCCTAATATTCCGCGTCCTACCAATATGTCTGTCATATTATCCCTTGTTTTTACTCCATTTGTCAAAACATTGTGTGATTTCATCCATGTAAATAAAATAAAATGTTAATGTATTTAGATTTTGTGATGTGTGCACTTGTGACATGTATTATTAAGGTGATGGGTTTTAAATGTAATGTGCAAATGTCTCTTTACTTTCAGGTTGGAAATCTCAATATAATCTCAAAATTTTATCTGATCTATAAGTATAAACGTCACTCCCTTGACTGACATGATATTGGCAGAATTCTTTTAAGAGAAGCCATTTATTAAAGAAAGAAGAAGAAGAAGAAGACATAGGCTATAATTTATGTAGATATTTTTATGTATATTTGTCTTTTTGTCTGAATGTTACGCCTTCAGCCTATCCTACGCAGACATAGTCGCGGGCAGCAGCTAGTTTCACAATGATATTGTAATACTACAAAGAATCAAACAAGCTGAATATTTTAACCCAAATCAGTTAACTGAATCAATGACAAAGTTTTTCATACTTTTTTATATTTGCAAGAATTTATACTTTGTAGCATCAAATACTAACTTCCGTACTCTCAAATAAATTACATTCAACATTTGTCTACTTCAAACTGATTGATTAGGTGTGTTAGGCGCACTCTTTAAAAAATCCAGAGTGGTGTCATCATCAAGACCTGGGTGGACTGAATAACATATGATAACATAATCTTGGCCCTACCCACAGCGGAGGGCCCAAACCCGTGGGTTCTGGCTAGCCCACCAGTTCTGCGTCAGATGAAGCTTTAATAGTCTCGGGACTGAAAGCACAAACATCAGTTTATAAAAGATACAAGAACATAATCATCATCATAGCTAGCTTACTCTAATGGTAAAGTAGCAGTTTCACTGGTATGTAAAGGCCTTCCCTCTGTACAGAGGGTATTAAGGCATAGCGCCACCACTCAATCCCACAGCAGATCGAAAGACTAGACAACTAGACTTTCTAAATATTTTCTCTACACTATTTCAAAAACATGCAGTTTTTCTCACAACATTTTCCTTTAAGTATGTAATAAGTCTGCACTTAAAATTTCAATAAGCAATGTCATTGGTGCCGGCACCGGGATTTGAACTCAGGTTGCTAGAGTATATTGAATTAATAGTGAGTGCCTGCATACTGAAATACCACTATTATTTTTTAGATGGAGGGGTTATCCTTCCCCTCCAAGAGGTCCATCTTTCTATTGTACAGTTAATACTAATTTTAATGTACAAAATGACGAAAATTTCCTCAGAATTTGAAGAGGGAGGGGGGCATAACTTTTCAATTTAAGGATATTGTTGGATGATATCAAAAACTAATTAATATATCATCTTTCAGGTTTCAAAACCTATTCTATACATTATTAAATATTAATTGTGAGTGTTCACTTTTAAGTCTATAATTATTGGAACACAACATTTATTAAAAAGAATAGCATTGATGTATCTTTAATAAATTCCTAGACCTTGATTAGAATACTAAAACATATTGAATTTTTCATAACATTTTGAAATAACCAGATGGCGACAAAGAGTTTTACATGAGAGAAGAGTTGTTTTATTACGATTGTTGAATTAATTTAAAGATAAGTAACTTAACGATAAAAGATTTCTCAATTTTGTTTAATATAATGAGTTATCCTTTTTAATTTGAATAATTAGTGTTTCTTAACGCTATCTTATCATTTGCGAAACTATTATGCAAACAGATTTCTTACCTTTATTGTTGAATTTCAGAAAGTACATACACTTTTTAAATGTACTGTATACAAAATTTACTTCATGAATAAAAAGTAAATATTTAAAAGAAAAAAAAAAGGCTCACTTTTTATCACATCAGAACTGCATGGCCTAAATGTTTGAATTGGTGTTTAAAAATTTATCCTTAAAGTAAGTTTATTGCTATTTTAAATCTGTTTATTTATTTTTATCAACTGTAAGGGTGAGTAAATGATGACCGTTATTGAGAGAAAAGTTGTTTTATCAATTATTGCAAACCCCATAATAATTGATTAGACAATGGGTAAGGGGGACACAAACCTTGAGGGATATACCTACTTAACATATTTAGGTAAACTATCTTGACACCATGCTGTAGAGGCTTGGTTTATTAGTTCACATGTTATTTATTAAGTGTTTTTAAAACTGGAATATTATTATTATTATTATGTTTTACATACATACTTGAACTTAAAGATGGAAAATGTGTTCGCCACTTTGTAAATCTTTTATGTCACTATGATTATTAAAAAAATTGTTACATTGTTTTCTCATCTATCGGCAGTCCCAAAAGACTGCCGATAGATGAGAAAACAATGTAAGTTAACAATAATTAACATATATATTTGAAAAATAAAATCATTATTATGTTCCAATAATTATTAATAATAACTTACAGTTAAGATTTTGTAGCCAAAATTATTTTCTTTCATTTAGTGGTGCCTACATCCCATCTTCTGAACACCCAAGAAGTAACAAGTGTGAATACATTTTATTCATGCAATTCCAAAGTCAACATTTAAAATATGTTCCAGTTATAAATACTGAAGCATGATCCACTTAAATTTAAAAAACCTTAACATCAATGTCAAGCACAAATTATACAATTTGAATGTTAATGACCTTGTTACAAGAAAAACAAAAATCCAATTGTTTATTCCATAGCTCTACTTTTAACACTTCAAAAATCTGTTTGAGAAAAGTATATAAGAGCACAAGTGTATAAATAAAGTATAGAAAGAAACAATATGAAGGAATATAAGATAACGTGAAACAAACTGAATAAATCCCTTACATTGTAAACGTAAATGATGTTCAGAGAACGTTATTAAATAAAAACACTTGATATCGTGTTATCAAACAACGATACTAATATGCAATATCAGTAACTGCGACACAAAACTGGATAAGAGCCAGAAAGGAAACAACGATAATGAAAAACACTCACCCGATGTCAGCTGGGAATTTCTCCGAGCCGCTATTCTTCCCACCGACAAGAAGCTCAGTCTTATGCTACTCATAATTGCTTATTAATCCTCGAATGATACACTAAACACATCAGCCCGCAATCACAACAGCAGTAGTGGTACAAGAGCAGAATGCAAATGCAGTGAATAAACAAGTATCTTGTAATTCGTAGCTAGCAATTTTTGCTGTATTTATTTGTCAGTGAGAGGTCTATCCTATCATGACGCAACACTTTTAGTCAACATCAACACCGACAGTGTTCTAAATTCTAACGCTCTCTTACGCGGTACGAACACAAGAATTGCACTTTCCTATTTATTTGTATGATTTGTAAAATAAAACAAAATTATTTGGTGGATATAGGAGCGGCCATACTGATGTTCACAGCTGATTTTGATGTGAAGGAAATTGGAATTTTCTTGTACCACGTTGTTTTAGCGGTGTCGCCATCTACGTTCAATTTGTGTCATTTTAAATTGTACCTGGTCAAAAAATCTCCTAGTTTGCGTGGCATTTAAAAATAAGGCCCAAAATGCATTTATTTTTCTTGGTTGCATATTTAGCGAACTATTAAACGATTAGATTAATGTCATTCATTGTTAATTTATTAAAGAAACGGTGGATGGAAAGAAAAATCTCACCGACTTTGTAATTTGGCAACACTTGAGAATGATGTCGTTCATCGTCCATAAACAAAAATAAATATATTTTAACCAAAACTTTTTATGTTATTTCGCTCATCATTTTAATTTTATCATATCAACTATAATTGTGATAAATTGACGAATCATTTTTGATGATTTATGTTTAATGTCATCCGCACAATATTTGTTATTTTTTTTTAATGTGTCTAGACTACTGAAGTCTATAGCGACATAATAAAATAATTAACGTAAGATTAAACTTTATGTCGAAAATCATATTTTTATTTATATTTTTTTTAAATTAATTATGATTTTATAGTCTATTTTCACTCATAGTCTGTGTTAGAAAAAAAATTACCGTAACCGACGTACAGCTCATTTGTCATCTGTGGTCTGTCTGTCTGTGGTCAAAACTGTCCAAAATGGCTGAGACAGAGACCGATAATAACAGTATTGTTAGATCCGAGAGAAATAATAAGGGCCCAATAGAAAGTAATGGGCCCCGTCGAGTAACTATCTATAAAACTGAAACTGGTTTCGGATTTAACGTGCGCGGGCAAGTTTCCGAAGGTGGACAACTGCGTTCCATAAATGGTGAATTGTATGCACCACTGCAGCATGTCAGCGCTGTACTGGAACAAGGAGCTGCGGAGCAGGCTGGTATAAGAAAGGGCGATAGAATCCTTGAAGTGTAAGTACTTAATTTAGTCAATAAACAAATTATACATCCTATGTAATTTTGAAGTGTACCAGCACCGTTTCCCAGAGTCGGTATCGTTACAGAGTCAGGAAATACTTTTTCTTTAATTTGTAAATTTCATACAATAAGAAAATGTTTTAAAGACCCTTTCATTACTTAGTTAATTTTCATAATCTTTTCGACCAGTAATAATTACTGATTAATTTATTTTTATTAATACTTATAATTCATCGGTTATTTTCTATGCTTTTTTTTAAATATGCGCACTATAGACTGTTATATTTATCTTTTCTTTACTTTCAGTCCATATATTACGCGTGTCGCTACAATCGCGCCAGTAAATGAACACACATAATATAGAGAATAACTTTTTAAAATTGTATTAAGCATTTACATCTTTAAACATCAATATTTACCGAGTTATTAAATTTTACGAAACAAACATTTTTAGAAAATCCTTACGTATAAAACTGTAACATTAAGCACATTTGTTAAGGCCACAAAGCATACGAATGGGTTGAATGAATTTAAAAGATATAAAACATACTGTTCGAAGGAGAGACTTGTAATGCAACTTTGTGGCAACAAATGAAAGTCTCTGAATGTATGAATGAGTCAGTTGTTGTCAGTTCTATAGTATGTTACAAATTTTGTTTCTTTTTTATTTAATTAGTTTGTTTGAAAAATATTTTTTTTTTAATTATGGATTTTTTTAATGTTTTATATTTCTTATGATTATTGGCAAGTAGTGTTAGATGTGTGTTCAATTCTGTGCCTCCTGTGATCAGTGATACAACTCGAGTTGTACCCTTTTTCTGATTTTAACACATAAGCAATCAGTAAAAAATAAGCTAGCTTTGGGTCTGACTCACGTGTTTCTATCTGCTATAGATCTCGAGATAATTTTGTGCAAAGTGATATAACTAATGGGATTTTGGATGAAAAAATCGTGAATTTTTCGTGAATAATAATTTTATTCCAGTTACATCAACTTGAACCTAAGTTTATTTTGTTATTTGCAGGGTACAACTTGACATGTACTTACCGATCTGAATATTAATTTCGCCTACTTTTGTGCTGAATGATACATCTCAATATGCATCATTCCACACAAAATCTATCCCTATCTGAACACTAAAATAAATTGAGTTGTATCGGAAATGCAAGCATTTTCTAAAAAGTATTTACTACGAACATTAGTGTAAAATGATACAAATTAAATCAAGGTGAGGGTGGCGGTTATGTGTGGGAGTGAAGTGACTGACTAAGCCCACTTTATTAAAAGGTTGCAACGCATCTGCAACACTACAGGAGTTGCAAATGTCCATGACCGGTGGCTATCACTTAACTAACGTGAACCTACAGCTCGCTTGCCACATTCTCACATAAATAAACTATTTCGTAACACTGCCTCGAAATATACAACAAGATCAGGAAAAACAAGAAGAACTCGTGACTTACGTGATCTAAACACCTATCGTCATAAATGCAAAGAGAGACTACCGTTTGATTTAAGGAACACTCTGTTCAAAACATACTGGAGTCTTGGAATTTCAAAAAAAAGACGTCCAAATATCGCAAGAAAAACGGAACGCTAGATTTTTTCGATACTTCTTTCACGGGTTTGATCATAACAAAACACGCAATTTGTAAAGGATGTTTTTTGAAGACTTTTGACAAAAACCACAAGTATCTTCAGACTTTATGCGAGTAACTTAGAAAAGTTAATACCTGATATCAATTACAATCCATCGAACATAAATTTCTAGTACCTAACCATACTGACATGGAAGCAGACAGTGACCATGAGCTGATTGAGCATAAAAAGAAGCACACGGGCATAGATATTCATCTGCCAAGAGATTGGTAGATCCAGTATCTGCACAGCTTCAAATAAATCTGCAAAGTTTACTGTGATTGAAATGACTCTGAATATGTTTTACGACTTCGGTCTTTTTTTTAACAATTCCTTACCAAAACAACTACAGACATTAAAAAGTTCCTGTAGTCTGATGTCATATCGATTATGTATCTTTAAGGCAACTTTCCTTGTATTTCTTACAAAAAAGGGCTCAAAGACAGTGGAAACATGAATGAATTTATCGAAAGCGAAAAGTGTCCTATATGGTAGGAATTTATACGGTACCAAAAGCTTACCATTCCAAGATTCCCATTTCAACAGAAAAGAAGAAGGATCTAGTACAATTATTATCCATGAAAGACCTCATGAATTTCATAGAAATCTAAACTACAAGAGTGACCGGTGACGTTCAATATCGCGGTCATTTGGAAGAAAAAGCCAAGCTGGCTTCTAAAAAACTCGGTATCCTAAACCGAGCGAGACAGTATTTCCGACCGGCACATCGTTTGCAGCTTTATAAAGCACAGATTCGGCCGCACATGGAATACTGTTCTCACCTCTGGGCTGGGGCACCGAAATACCAGCTCCTACTATTTGACCGCATCCAACGAAAAGCTGCTCGAATCATCGACGACCAAATCCTATCCGATCGTCTCGATTCTTTGGCCCTGCGAAGGGATGTTGCATCCCTTTGCATTTTCTTCAGTTGATACCTGCAGGTGAATTTCACCATCGATCAACTCGTCAAACCGCCAAGTACCGCCAGCGGTATTTCCAGCCCGATACGAGTTAGGGACCTTCAAGAAGAGAACCTATTCCTAACTTAAAGGCCGGCAACGCAATTGCGACTCAACTGATGTTGCAAATGTCCATGGGCAGCGGTGATCACTTATCATCAGGTGACCCGCATGCTCGTTTGCTTCCGGACAATGACAATGATTCTGAGTAGATTAGATAGTCGATTATAGAATATGATTTACGAAAACGACAGATTTGTTATTAACATTCAGTGTTAATAACAAATCTGTCGACTGATTTTTATAAGTATTTCCTGATTTTGTCGTTATTGTTTCCTTTTATTTTTAGCTTATGTCTAAAGGTCATTTTACTCATAGATAGGGTGCCTATAGAAAGATTAGAAGATTTTGTTGTGTTTGTTAATTTCTCTATGTTTATTAATCTATTTAGGATTAAGATAATGATCATAATATCCTGTAAGTACTGAAAGATACCTATTGTGATATCTGCTATGACCGATCCTAGATATATAATTTATAAATGTTTAAGGTAATCATGAGATAAGAATAATTTAGGCGATGTACAATATTTTTTTTATTATTTGTGGAATAGTTGTATTAATTTACACAATCAATATAATTTTTCAAGTCAGGTATAATTTGACTTGTATCATATAACACATGTTTCAAATCACGAGGATTTTAGCTAACTGATACAATTCAAAGAAATTGTCACAATAGGGGGATATACACTATAATAAAATGAATCTAGATGTTTCATTTATTTTTTATTTGGTTAAACAATTATGATAGGAAGAGATTCTAATAAGTTATTTTTGTTTTTATACTACACGTATATCAGTTTTCACAAAGACTATAATAAGGTGCAACATGGTTTAACTCTACTTATATCATGTAACACATCTTTTTTGCCAATATTTTACTATACAGAGGTACAATTCAAATGTTTTTTTCGAATTACTGATAAATTATATAATTTTTTAACAAAACTGTAATACAGGATGAAAGAGAATGTTATAATCTATATGAGTGTGTACAAAGTTTTGTCCTAGTCTATCCATTTCATGAACTAGAATTTTTTAAATCTTGTTTTTGCTCTCCTGTAAAATGTTGATTTTCGACTTGTATCACTGATCACAGGAGGCACAGAATTATTGTCGCAGTTGTAATGACATACTGTGTATATTTATGTACAACAAACATACCACATATGCTAATAAATTTGGGCATTTGATTTATATCTGTTTTGCTTTATATTTTATATAGCTATTATTGCATATAATTTTGCCTCCTTCAATTTCAACATAATAGTGAAGTGTTAAGTATGATTCTTAATTTTCAACACATTTTTTATTTACTTTGCTTGACTTGTAATAAAATGTTAAATAAATTTTCCATTTAATAAAATTTAAACTGCAATAACCATCTCTGTCTGTCCCATCTGATTTTAGAGCTCTGAGCGAGTTATTCTTTAGTTTTAAATTTTAAGTGCCATTGATGGCATTATACAAACTTGTCTGGCTTCCTTTTAAGCCTTGGCACCAATCAATAAATAGAAATATTTACAATTTATTGTTAGAATTTGTTGTAAATTTATTGTATTGAACAGATAGACAATTGCAAGTTTAACTCAAACCAGGCTATAATGGTTTTTGTATTTTGAAAGATGGTGGTAAAGATTTTGCTTAGTGTCCCAGATTATAGTGCTTTTATGACCTAAATAATATCTAAATAATACCTGTGACCAATAAATAGCCTTGGAGCTTTCAGTTAGTGTAAACAATACTAAAAATTGTCTCTATTCATTCCTCTTGATATATGTTGTGAATGTTTTACGTGTTGTTTGGTTAAACATAAGTAGCAAGGTTATGTATATCACCTAGCTAATGCCTTAATTTGCATTATATTGAGTTGTGCATATCCTCGATTTTATTAAATACTAGTGACCCGCCCCGGCTTTGCATGGGTGCAATGTATTATACATATAAACATTAATCTTGAATCACTCTATTGAGTAAAAAATCCACAACAACATAACCACGTCAAGATTCATTGCATAGTTTTAAAGATCTAAGCATACATAGGGACAGAGTGACAGCAGGATGAATTTGTTTTGTTCTATGTAGTGATTAAGGTCACAAATACTTAAGTTTTTTTTGATTTAGTAATGTATGAAGAGACTTTACAGCATATGACTACGGAACTGTCTGTTGCTTGAGATTGTAGTCAAGGATCAAACAATTTTAGAGGGAAAAGGATAATGAAAAGAAATTAAGCAGACACTGAATTTACATATTGTTGATTTGATTGTTAAATTAACATATTTTAATTCAATTTATTTTTATGACTGTGTGGATATTGTTGCTGTTAAGT